TTAATTGAAAAAAAAAGTATTAGGAAAAGCAATTCTCTTTTGTATAATGTGAGATACATAGGAAACAGTCCTGATAAGTCATTTCTATGTGTTGCTACTTTTGGTTCACCCTTCTATACACACTAAAAAGGCATTCTAAAATCTAATTTCAAAAAGTAAATATTACATTGTCCAAATTATTTGCAGCCACCTGTCACATGGGTCTTAGTGATTTGCTCGTGTCATTAACAACACATAAATCAAAGATCTACGCTTCAATAAAACATGCCTATACTCTTGTGGCCCTGAGTCTAAGCTCATGGAGTTGGGTCATTAACTTTTCTAGATTGGGGACATATCTTAAGACAATTTAAGGTTGTGTACTTACCTCCCACTTTGCCGTCCCACTGAGAGCAATCACTTTGGCAGGGGAAAGTTGCTCACAGTTGTGAACATGCACTGAACTTTGTAAAGCAGAGAGGCTTACTGGCAATGTATTTTACCTGGCTTGAGATGAGCAAATGGCATTTTGCCAGTGAGAAGCTCCCAGAGACACAGAGCGTAGCTGAAGACGTCAGCTTTGATGGTGTAGCGAGTGCCCTGAGTGAACACCTCAGGAGCCATCCACCGGAAGTTCTGCGTATCAAGAAATAGGCACCAGTCATTGAACCAACAGTTAGCTTTTCCATTGTACAAGTTTTCTCTTCTGTGAGGGTTTGCTAAGACATCTCAGATGATTTCAAAAGAGAGCATTGCCATGAATGAAAATTTCCTAATGCTCAATTATATTTAAGGACAATCTGTACTCAAGTCAAGAGGCAATTATTCCAACAGAGGCAGGGATGCTGCGTGGCTTACAATCAGGAGAAGTTGTGCATTAAGTCATATGAAGGTCAAAGATGATTGCCTTCAGAATGGCTTACACCTTAACATAAAGAACAGAAAATATCTCACAACTGGATCAATAAGCAATATCATGTTAAATAGAGAAAAAGCAGAAAACATTTAAGTTGTTATGGATTTCATTTTCCTTGGATCCACAAACAACATCTATGGAAGTAGCAGTCAAGAAGTTGTGACGGATTATATTAGACAAATTTATTGCAAGCGATCACTTTAAGACATTAAAGAGCAAGCACGCCTGAACACGGATCGTGTGCTTAAATCAGACCAGAATCCTTTTCATTGTCCCTGATGTATGCAAATGCTAGAGAGTAATTAATGAATCCTGGAAGACAAATGGATACCTTTGAATCATGGTGCTTGCAAAGAATATTGGATATACTATGGATTGCCAGAAGAATGAAAAAAAATCGGTTTTGGAAAAAGTACAGCCAGAATGTTCCTTAGCATTAAGGCTAGTAAGAATTCATCTTATGTGCTTGGGACATGCTATCAGGAGAAACCAGGCCCTGTAACAGGCCAGCATGTTTGTAAGACGGAGGATCAGAAAAGAGAACGAGGAAGATGAACTGGCACAGGGGCTGGAAAATGGGCTCACACATAATATCAATTGTGAGATTGGTGCAAGGCTGGGGACCTGGGGACCATTTCTTCTTGAGGAGTTGCTATTAGTTATCAACAACAAAATGGCATTTAACAAGCACAGCACCAATGGCACTGCTGTTTACTTAAGAGTATCTTTCTTCTAGAAACTTTGCACACTTTTGAAAAACCACCCATGCATTTCTGACCCGGGAGCACTCTATGAATTCCTAGGATTGAGTCAGGCCACAGGGGAGATACCATTCCTTACTTGGGTTTTTTGGCTATTTAGGAAGGCACCAAATTCAGGTCATATACATGACATTAGGACTGAGAGAAAGGATAACAGGACTGCCAGGCACATACTAAAACAGTCAGTTTTGACCCACAGCATTCCTGTATACATCAAAATGCAGTGCAGCCCGGTCCTGCGCCAGCCTCGCAGTTGTTCTTAGGTTTGAGCCATTGTTGCAGCCACATTGCTAGTCCGTCCTGTCTAGAGCCTCTCTCTGCATTGCTGCCTCTCTAATTTACTAATCCTGATGACCTGGGCCTGGTCTCTCCTGATGACATGTCCAAGTATGTGAGGCAGTCTTGCTACCCTTGTCTCTAAGAAGCATTCTGTCCGTACTTCTTCCGCCTCTTCCCTCCGTTTGTCACACTGTGGTGACTTGTGTGTTGCTGTGATGCCGGAAGCTATGTCGTTGGTATTTTAAATGCCAGCGGATTTACTCAAAGGGAACGGGCTTCAGTGGAACTTGCAGACTAAGAACAGTCTACCAAGGACGAAGAGATTGGCCACTTCAGAAGAATTAGTCATTGACGACCTGATGGCGGCCGTTGTGTTAAACTATAGAACCACTCCATAGGATTTCCTTGACTCGTGGTGTCCTGTGTTCCTCTTTGGGCCGCTAGCCAAATGGTCAGCATTTGGAAACCAGCAACCGACCCCAGAGGAGAGAGATGGAGCTTTCTCCTTTCACAAAGGTTTACAGTGGTGGAGCCTCACGGGCAGTTCTACCCTGTCCTGTGGGGTCTCTGTGAGTTGGAATCAACGCAATGACAGTGGGGTTTCTGAGAGTCTTTTACAGAAGCAGGTCACCAGGCCTTTCTTCCATATTCCCTCGGGATGTGGGTGGGCAGGGTGTGGGTTTCACTCGCTAGCCTTTACATTAGTGGACTAGACTTATGATTGTCACCCTCGGAACCTAACCTTGTGGTTGGCAGCCCAGCATGTTTCCCACTATACGGCCAAGGGTGCTAAGAAGATTTAAATACTCTGTTCAGTTACATTTAAAACACATTCAGCATTATGTTATTCATAACATTTTCTAAGTTTATTTCTAAAGCAGAACCTTGGAAGAATTATTTTGGGGCCTACTGGAAATAAAAATACAAAACATTATTCTGCGACTGGGACTGGGACACTGTTTCCAGTTAACGCTGCTCTCTGCTCTAGTGAGCCCCCCCTCCCCCTCCCCCCTACCGCCCAGCCCCTCTCCTCTCAGGCTGACTCTACACATCTTCATTGTTTACTGAGGGCAGGCAACACAGCGGCAGCAAACCCCAGGTGGTTTTGTCAGGTTGTCTTCATCCCGAGACTGCAGAAATCTCGATTCTGAGGGAGAGACAAAGCAAATTCACATCGAAGAAATGTTTCCAAATCCAAAGCAAAGATTATGTCTCAGATTCCAAAGCCACGTGAAACTCGGGTCATATTTAAATCCTTATTTCCTTTTTCTGGTGTTGTCACTGCAAGATGAGTACTTTTACAGACCTTCGCCGGCCACTGTGCAATGCATTTTAGTGTCATCGCATACAGTGCCCTGCACGGACTGGAGGAAGAAAGACGCGGGTGTCCTTTGAGGGATTCCTTGTGGACATCTCACCTCCAAAGTCTGCCACCGCCGCATGGCCGTCGTCGAGAAGAACATTGTGGCTGTAAGGCCAGCAGCCCTTCAAGGAAGAGGCTCAGCATCTCAGCCCTGAAGGTGAACGAGCTGCACGAAGATCACAGAGGTCCCACGAATCTCTCCGTTTGACTAACGAAAAATACCGAATCTGGCTATGCTCTACCCAACAGTGAAATTACACAGGCGTCCTACTGTAGCTAGACCCTCTACACTTGTCAAAAGGACCTATTAGCTGGAGATCAGGTTTTCGACTCACGGAAAACTCCTTTGGTAACAGCTCCACAGTTTCGGGCCAAGAGCAGAACACATCTGTGCGCACAGCGGAGTCTTTGTTCCAACAGCAGATCGAAGGACAGTTCAAGCAAAGCTGGACACAAATATCATTTAAAAACGGATTTGTCTTTCTTGCTAATATATTCTAGCTCCAATTCTGGGACAAAAGAAAGCTTTTCCAGGACCGTGTGTGTCGCCAGCT